TATTCACATCCTTCTTCACCCTGTTATTCTCACAGCTGACTGCCTCAGCTCACATTCACTTCATGTCTTACTGGCCTATTAAAATCAGATCTTATCAGAGCCACCAGCCTCCTTCCTCAGCCCTCTCCACGCCAATTACATGGAGTGTGCAGGATAATTCTGCCAGATCAGTGCTCTTCGGATGGTGTTGGTTTTTTGTTTTTGGTTTTTCTTCTGTTACTAAAAATATTTTGAAAAATTATTCATATTCCCCCCTATGGTTTAAGTTGACTGCTGCACTTTTATACATTTAAATAGTTGAAAAAATTTGATTTCCAGCATAATTATTGACATTTTTAAACAAAAAAGTTATCTTTAATGGATTTAATAAACTGTAAATACCACAGTGATTTGATACCTACTGTTTCTGATTAAAAATGAACAGTATCAAGTTTTTTTCTCCTTGAATCATTTTTTCCATTCCACTTTACCCAAAGAATGCTATTCTAATGTAATGTATTTTACTTTGTGTTGGAGAGCCTTTTATTCCTTGCCCCATCATACTTTTCCAAAGTATTTTTATATATCGAAAAAATTTTAATTTCTTGGGACCACAAAATTCTAAGAGATAAATACACACATTTACTAAACACACACACACAAAAACACATGTGTGTATGTATGTGTGTGTGTGTGTGTGTATATATATATATATATATTCTGGATAGTTATATAATTATTACTAGTACATAAATCAAAAGCAGCAGGCATAGTATTTTCAAAGGTATATTTGTTTAGTGTCTATTTTGTTTTGTGACTATTTATAGATAGAAAACACCTTTCTGTATGTGTTAAATAAATGGTGGCAAATCTAATACAGATATACATTGAAATGAGTTTAAAATTTTACCTTCAACTTTAGAGAAGATAAGTGACATAATCAACTCTACTTCTTTTTTCCCAAACATATTGAAAATTCAGAATATATTCAAGCAATTGGGGCAGGGAGAGAGCCAGAAAGTTCACCCAAGAATCAAAAAAAGCTCCACATCGCTAATGATCAGAGAGATGCCAATTGAAGCCACAATGAGATATCACCTCATACCTGCCAGAATAGCTATCACCAATAAATCAACAAATGAGTTCTGACAAGGATGCAGAAAAAAGGGGACCTCAGTGCACTGTTGGTGGAATGCAGACTGGTGCAGCCACTGTGGAAAACAGCATGAAGTTTCCTCAGAAAATTAAAAACGGAACTGCCTTTTGAAACAGTGATATCACTTCTGAGACTATATCCTAAGACTTCCAAAAGACTAAGCAGAAAGAATATATGCACCTCTATGTTCACAACAGCATTATTTACAATCCAAGGTCTGGAAACAGCCCAAGTGCCCATGTAGATGAACTGATGAAAATGCTGTGATTTTACACAATGGAATTCTACACAACCATAAAAATGAAAAAAACTGTTACCCTTTGCAACAGCATGGATGGACCTGGAGAATACCATGGTAAGTGAAATAAGCCAGTCAGAGAAAGACAAATATCATATGGTCTCACTTACATGTGGAATCTAATGAACGAACTTAACTGACTAACAAAATAAAACCAGAGGCATGGACACATGGAAAAGACTGATAGATTGCAGAGGGGAAGGAGGGATGTCTCCTTGATGTTTCACTCCAAATCTCTTTGGAGGAGATTAGCCACAGAACACATACATATAGATATGCAAAGTCCGTGGGCGCAGGCAACAGTGTGGTGAAGACCTGTGTGGGGGAGGGGATGGGGATGGGAGTTTGGTGTGGTGGGAAAAAGGGCTAGAAAATGGGAGATATCTGTAATGTCAACAATACAAAAATTAAAAATAAAATAAAATTTAAAAATAATACATTTAAAAAGTAATAATATTCTGTTACAACCAGCGCACGTAAATACGCGTGTGGTACACAGAATGAAATCAGGGCTCCTAAGCTTCGTACCCACTGGTGTACACTCTGTACGACTCCCTCCCCTTGAATGTGGGTGTGAACATTATGGGAGAGCCGCTCCTGCGATGAGTTTATTAGCTTCTATTAGCTTCAAAAGAGTGAAGAGGATTTACAGATGTAATTAAACTACCTAATCAGTTGGCTTTAAGTTAATTGAAGGAACGCTACCCTAGGTAGGCCTTTCCTAATTAAGCAAGGTCTTTAAAAGAGGGTGTAGGAGTCAGAGGCTAAAAGTACCAGAAAGCTATCCTGTTGGCTTTGAAGAGGTAAACTGACTTACTGCGGAGAGGGTCATATGGTAGGAAATAACAGGTATTGTCCAGGAACTGAGGACATCAGCACTACAACCACAAGAAACCGAACTCTGCCAATGCCCATTGAACTGGGAATGGAAGCCTATGTCTTGGATGAGATGGTAGTGCTGGCAGCATCTGGATCATGGCCTTGTGAGATCTTAAGCAGGGAACCCACCTGAGTCATACCTGGACTGCTGACCAACAGAAATTGTGAGAAAATAAACATGTATTGTTTTTAAGCCACTATTTGTTTTGTAATTTGTTATATAGCAGTAGAAAAATACCACCACATAATTGAAGCTATCACCAAATTTCTTGATTTTGCATCATTATATTTCAAAGTGAAAATATTTCAAAGGATATTCATGAAACATTATCTATTATATGTTCCAGAATTCCAAAATGTCAACTTTTATTCATTTTTAATTTTTTAATTTTTTTACTTTATTTTAAAAAATATTTAATTTATTTATTTTTAGAGAGGGGAAGGGAAGGAGAAAGAGTGGGAGAGAAACATCAATGTGTGGTTGCCTCTCATGTGTCCCCTACTAGGGACCTGGCTTGCAACCCAGGCATGTGCCCTGACTGGGAATCAAACCGGCGACCCTTTGTTTCACAGGCCCGTGCTCAATCCACTGAGCTACACCAGCCAGGGCTCTTTATTTTTATTATTAACACAGATGTCCCCACTTCCCCTTCCCTCATTTGCCCATCTCCACCCAGGTCCTGCCTTCCTTCCCTCTGAACATCAAACGTATGGGCTCTCTATGTAATTTTATAAACTAAAAGCTACCCTGTAATGAATTATTTCTAAAATATTTCCAAAGCTCAAAAGATTACTTTAGCCCTGGCTGGTGTAGCTCAGTGAATTGAGCACAGACCTGCGAACCAAAGCATGGCCGGTTTGATTCCCAGTTGGGGTACATGCCTGGGTTTCAGGCCAGGTCCCCAGTAGGGGGTGTGCTAGAGGCAATCACACATTGATGTTTCACTCTCTCTCTCTTCCTCCCTTCCCCATCTTTCTAAAATAAATAAATAAAACTAAAAAAGATTATTTTAATGTTAACCCTGTATGTCTGATATACGAGTTCTACCACTTTCTTAGAATTAACATTCTATAAACACCACCCTCTGTTCAGCAAATACATGAGAACAACTGCATGCTACTTACATGATTGGTTAACTCTTCCTTGGACAGAAAAATTTTTTTAAATCTATCTAATAGTTAGGAAGTGTTATACTTATCCAATTTCCTTCTTCTCCCAATGTCTTTTAAATATAACCAAAGATTGGTTGGAAAATGAACAGAAGACAATACTTGGATGTTTTTGCCCTGTTTGTTAGTGGAAAGGTGAATGTGCAGATGAGTGTGCGTGTGTGTGTACACTGGTCTTATTCCAGAGAAGACTTTTAGAAGTACCTAAAACACACACGCACACACATAAAGGAAGGAAAACTGTTGTTACCTAAATGGTCTAGGGTAATGGAAAGAGTAACAAGATTTTAAAAGTCAACAAGTAGAACTAATTTAATCTACAGTGAGAAACATTGTCACAGGAGTCATCTTTATTTTAAATGACCAAACAGATGATTAATTTTCCTTGGAACACTGTGTTAACACAAGGAGTCTTCCGGATTCTGCAATTATTTCACATAAGCCAGACATATCCCTTCCTAGGACTTTGAGTCATCCCCATCCTCCTGTTCCAGGGAAATACACAAATACTTGTGCATATCCTCATAATTGCGGTTATCATTCTGAGTGCTGGTAGGTGATACACACACACACACACACACACACACACACACACAATCAAGCCAATTTGTAACATTATTATAACTTACTAAATGTATGCAATTCTTAAAGCATTTTGGGATTCAGTTGAAAAAATATGACCTGTACTCAGAGAAGTAAAAGCATGTAAACATCTAATTATTCAGCAGTATTATTTCTTTTTCACTTCCATTTTTAAAATAAAAATAAAAGAAATAAAAGCATGTATATACCTAATTATTATTCAGTAATATTATTTCAAAAAAGTAAATATGTGAGTTAACTACAGAGAAAGGACCGACCAGAGAGACTTAAAAGGATACCACAAAACAAGTAAAAAAAGAAACTTCTTTTTATCAGAAATTTAGGAGAGTGGTAAAGAACAGTATATATTGTACAAAAGAATTGTGGGATTGCTAAAAGAGGTTGAAATAGAATATGGGTTGTGTACAGGGACAGGTGAGGATCAGCTACTAGAGATTAAAGACGTCTGGGAGAATCTTCCAGTGGACTGATTATTCGTCACTGCAGCTGCTGTCACTGAGCAGAAGAGGTTCACAGTGAGCTGACAGCACATGTTATATCTGAGGAGGAAAAGGAGGGAAAGGACGCAGGATTGGAAGGTAAGAATCTAAGGACCTAACTTTTACAGCCTATGATATTGCACATAATCCCTGATCTTTTTCTCTTTATGTGAATTTTTCTTTTTTTTCTTGATAACATGAGAATGTTTAGACCTTCCAAAGAGTATAAATGTTTTGTGTATGTGTGTACACTTGCATATTTATCTCTTTCAAAATAATGGCTTGGGTAGGATTATATAACACATTTTAAAAATATTAAAACCTACACACATTAAAGCATCAAGTAAAATAGTTGTTAACCTGTCTCACTAATAATCACCTGCTTAGATCCAATCTGCGAGACGAAAAGGAAGCAATAAATTTGACTCTAACTTACCGCACATTTTAATTGCACAGTACTCCCAAGGGGTGTCAGGGTCAAGAGTATAGCACCATGGCCTCGGCTTGCCATCGGGGTTGCGGCAATAATTATCATCAAAGCCCTTGTCGGGATATCTGCAAACCACACCAACAAAAGTGTCACGTAAATCTGCCTGGAAACACCACCCAGTCCTCAGATCAGAAAATAACTTCTGATTTAGCTTGGATGGTGCTAGCTGGGGAAAACATAAGTTCTCTATACATTGCCTTACAAGGACTACTAATCATTGACTATCGAAGCTATTAACTTACATGTTCAACCAAGTATAGAGCACCATCGCCTTTGCTAGTAAGTTAAGTCCACTTGGTTCCTCTCTACCAGTTGAGGTCCCAAATGAATCCACTTTTTATAAAGCCCCATTAAGGATAGATTACATAAATGAGATGCTCATAAAAAAAACAGTTCCTCTTCTATGTCAGGCTTAGAGTTTAAACTGAAAGGTAGGTTTCAATAGCTGTTACTAATGATAGCTCAATTCTGGAACAAGGGCCTTTCTAGGTCATGCCCTCACCTCCACCAGAGAAAGAGACAGATTCCATCACACCCCTTTCCTGACACCCTCCTCCCTTTAAGTTAACTGGGACCTTCATTGGTGACTCGATTTTAATTGCTACCATCTCCCTTCTGCTCTCACTTGAAAGACTAGAGATGTACTTAAAAACAAAGCAGAGTTTTAGTTTCATTTAGACTAACAATAAACAAAAACATAGAGAAAAAAAGCACCTTTCAGCAATTCCTAAACAAAGACAGTGTTAGAGCCTCCTCTGTAATTATCTACATTTTTATTCTTTATAATAAAAATGAGAATTTTTTTCAACTAAAATATTTCATGTGAAATGAATGGGCCAAAATAGATATTTTTAAAAACTATTTAAATTCCAAACATACTCCTGAGGAGAAAGTACACTTGGTTACCTGACTTCTCCAGGTGGGCAATTGCAAAATACACCAGGGTAAAGCAGCCGAAGAAAAACTGTTTGCCCTACCTTCCATTCCCTCTCTGTGGGCGTGACCCCTGTCATGCACATGAGCCCACTGTACCTCACTCACTGAAGACCCAGCTCTAGAAGGAGTTCAGCTTATATTTAGCAGTAACACCTCTTCCCACAGCTCAGGCTTGTCAAAGTGGTCACTATTAGATGGGCCTCTTTTTTCTGCTATAGAAGGGAAAGAGGAAGCTTCTGTTATTGCTTTTCTTCCACACTCTACTGATGTTCCTCAGGCCCATCCTGATTTCTGGAAATCTTAATCTGGTCTGCCCAGACCAACTGAAGGTGTACCAGTTCTCATGCACCTCATTGCAAGTCCCTTTGTCTGAGACTTTCCAGAATACCCCGTATAAAAAGAACGTTTCAGTTTGTTATGGAGCAAAAAAGTTGCCCCCCAAATTACTGATAGCGTGATTTGGGTTTATCTTACCTTTCTGGCACAAATTTGTGCCGATGCGGCGTCTGATGATCCCAGCGCTGACAAGTCTTGCCTGATTCTGTATGATCCATGGGACCTCGGTAACTTTCCCCATTGCAGGTCATGCATTCAACTAATAAAATTAAAGTATGGCATGTTAATTGCCTGTGACAGAAAAGTCAAGAGCACCACTGTTCTGTTTAAAGAGCAGTAAATCACCTGTTTAGCAAAGATATTTTTAGAAAATTTTACATACAATTTTAACTTTAAATTAGGGCTTACCATCGATAAAGAATGACATGAAATACTGTTTACAGAAGTTTTCACATAGCTTCAATGGAACTTTTGTACTTAGTGTCATACAGATTGACCATAGGGCCAGGACACTACCTTTCTGACTTTTCAGTAACTGTCCAAAAGGTGCTTAGGAACTGGAAATATCAAATAGGGCCTTGGGGCTTTTCCCTCAGTTGGTCTAAAATACAAGGGATGGTGGTATCTGTACTGTCAGTACAATAATGTTCCTCTCTCAACTTACCCTGTAATCTCATACACAGAAAAGAAGTATACATCTTATTTCTAGAGCTAATGCCAAAATCAGGGCAAGATCAATTGGAGAGACCAGCTTTGAATAGAAATCTTGTACTATTCAAAGAACAAGAATATTTTCAATGAAATCGCAGCTCCTTTCTGTTAGTGAACATCCATGTTGAATCACAGGGCAGGCTTTATTCTTACCTAGATTAGGATGGAAGTTGACCTGATATTGAACTCCTTGTTCTCACTGTTTTTTAAATGTATAAGCTGACCTAGTTATGCTGGATCTTACTGATGATTCTGTATGGTTAATTAATAGTTCTCTTCTGGCTGGCCTCTTATGTCATACAGAAAACTCTGAATCACATCACTAGCTGGAAAAGATACTTCTCAGGTGGACAGGTTGATTGGTAGCACAGCAGGCACCTTGCAGAATAAATCATTGCTTGGCCTTCCTACGGATCAGGCAAGCTTCCCCAAACACATCATTTGTATCTCGTGATTACTGATCATCTAACTGTAGCCAAAAGGGAGTGAAGATATCAATGTTTAGTTTTATCTACCAAGATCTAGCCTAATGAACATTTATAATAATTTGGGATATAATATCAGAATAATCACTTTTGAACCTTTGATTTTTATAATCTAATAGGACATTAACTATTCACTTTCCAAAATGTGGAACTGTTTGGCTTGATCGAGCTCCTTTTTATATAGTTTAATCTTTGCCCTGAGACAAAGGACCAGTTCGGCTCTTCTCATTTGGTCCTGAGATTCCCCAGACTACAGTCAATAAGCACCTGAACTGTAAATAGGAGGGGTCCAAGAGCATTTTTGATAAAGGTTCTCTGTTTGGCCAAGGTCATTTCTGCATTGAATGCTCAACATGGGTTGTGCTTTATCACATTTCAGCTTTCCATTTGAATGAGGTAAGGTTTATTTAGTCCCCTTTTTTCAAGGTTTGATATCTTCACAGAAAATGATGTGATATTTGTCATTGTTGTTTGCTTCTTTGTAATGAAATGAATACAACTGAATGAAAAATTGAGTGAAAAAGTAGAATAAGATACTGCAGTCACACATAAAGGATAAGTATTTACACATGCAATTTCAAACCTTGTGTAGTGTTCAAGTAATTACAATATACCTATTTTTGTCTTCTTCAGCAAATGCAGTTCATAAGAGAATATACTTTTATATGAGAGTGAATAAAATTATTTTCAGGAAGTTATACTATGGGGATTATTATAAAACATTTTTCTGGACTTTAGGATGTTTAATTTCCTTATGACCACTTTCTAAAATGAGTGTGGTAGACCACTGCCTCGAACTTGAACATGGACACAATGTCACTCTGAGATCTTGTTGAAGGGCGAGCTCTCCCAAAGTGTATTGGGGTGGGGATGCTCCCTGCAAACGCTGATGTTTCTGGTCCATGGATCTCATGTCCTGTAGCAGGTTTGCAGATAACTTTTTTCTATTCTAAGTGTTTAGCAGAAATGGCTTTTCAGAAGAGAACAGATTGTACTTGTTCCTTGAAGGACAGATAAGAGTTGGCTAAGCTATAAAGGGGCAAAATGGAATAGAAACATGAATTAGTATGTTTATAGTAAAGAGATAATTATGGATGCAATTTTGACTTAGGGAGATTTTTTAAATAATAAAAGCTAATAAGAATAGCCCTGGCTGGTGTAGCTCAGTGGATTGAGTGCGGGCCTGTGAAACAAAGGGTTGCAGGTTCGATTCCCAGTCAGGGCACATGCCTGGGTTGCAGGCCAGGTACCCAGTAGGAGACACATGAGAGGCAACCACACATTGATGTTTCTCTCCCACTCTTTCTCCTTCCCTTCCCCTCTCTGTAAAAATAAATAAATAAATAATATTTTTAAAGTTAATAAGAATAATGTTAGCTGGGAACTGACTGTGGGAATGGGGGGTAGGCTAGGAGGGCAAAGGGAAAAAACTTGGGACAACTCTAACAACATAAACAATAAAACAGTTAAAAGGAAAAAACAACCCAATAATAACATTCGATTTGGGTAGTCAATGAATGTTGTTCTTGGGGTAAAAATTAAATGTATTCTGTGATTGAAGTGAGATGCTAAATATATTGTTACATATTCCTTTTTTTAAATTTTTTTTATTGATTATGGTGTTACAGTTGTTCTATTCCCCCCTTCATATTCTTTGATTATTCAGTACTTTGAATATATAATAAATTACTTGATCTTTGCAGGGAGAAAAGACTCGCAAAATTTTTAAAGCACTTACCTAAAACAGAAAATGTCAAACTTGGACTTGGAACACAGGTCTCCTGACCTACAGTTCAGTGTTCTTTCCATTCTCCCTAATTGCCTTTGTGTCCTCCATATCTTAATGCAGTCCTTACACATTCCAACAGGTCATATTTTAAGATAAACCAACAGCAAAAATTTTAGAAGGTTAACCCCCCTGACTTTTTCAACACTGTCCCGGTTACCCTTTACCCTCTTGCTCACAACAGTAGTTTGCCCACCTGTTGGATTTTCACCTATCAGAGGGTTGGGAAAGGGGGCCATGGGAAAGCAAGCAGATTGGTCATCTTTTCCCAGGCTAAAAGTTTGTTGTTTTACCGCTGCATCAAACCACCAAGTCAATCATAAAAATTACCTCAAGAAAGCCAAAGTTAAGGTTCATAGTCACGTTTCACACTTCCTGAGTTCTAAGACTCCTTTTAGTTTTTGCAGCTTAAAGTTAAGTAGTAGAAGTGGACACCAATTCACCTACTCAAGGAACCAGGAGAAAGCACAGCCTATGCTGAAGGAGGAGGAGGGCTGCACCTCCTGCTGTGCTTTCTCTTGGCTCTGTCTCTGACAGCCAGTGTATTAGTTAACCTTTCTAGCAAGTTTTTCCCTTTAAAACAAAAGACAAAAATGTAAAATACGTTCCAGATCAAATGAACACAAACTAAATATTTCCTTTCATAAGTAGAAAATCTTTTCTAAATAAAAATTTGCCCTAAATCGTGTAGAAAACTATAAAAACTACACAAAATTGTATCATAAGTATGATTAACTCCACATCTTTCTCATCATATTAACCAACGAAGTCAAAAATACTATGTTCCATTTTTCTCAATCATAACAAAACAGGTGATCTGAGTTTACAGACTAAAATGGATATTTTGAAAGTATCTTTCAGATAAGTACTTCAAGAAAAACTGAATTTTTAAAATATGGAAAGTCTCACAAATCCACATTTATAAATAATAGTTTTATTTACATTGTTGTTTTCAAACATCTTTCTCCACAGAAGTACGTACGTATTAACACAAAGTTATAGCATTATTTTTGAGATTGTAAGCATAAGACACTAAAAATGAATGACTATGACTTAAAATATATTTACTTGAATATTTGACAATCATTAAAACAACATCTGTTCCAACTGACTGGTGGTGGCTTTACTTTAAATCCCAAGCAACTATTAAAACTAGGCACTAGATTTTCATACCTCAGTTTTCTACAATCTTTGAATCAAACATGAAGGGTCCTTTCTTTATATAATTATGTGAGATTTTTAAAGTATTTTTTCTATGGGAAATATATTAATATATTTCAAAGGTTTAAATTATAAAAAATAATATTAATCATTGGAATACTAATATATATATATGTATCTTCTATGAACCAAACTTACACACAAATTACAGGTGATTCTTTAGTTAAGAGTTTGTTACAAGTATTTCAAAAAATATATACTGTCTTTTTAAAAGAACAGTTTAAAGCTTAAGCTCAGGTATTTTTTCATGCTTAATTTTAAATATACAAAATGATTTGATCATTACTACCCCATCCATAATGATGCAGCCTTTGGTAACTGCCATTTAATAAATTTATACTCATAGATAAAAGTAGCTCATGTATTAAATTACTTAAGAATTCTGAGTTTTGGGGTCCCCCCTCATATTTGTATTTTCATAGGAATTTATATCATGTATACATTATTTTGTGTATCTTTATTCCTTATTTTATTTAAAAGTTCTGTTTTTATTAATGTATTAACAGTGCTTCTTATTTTAGATCCTCTTTATTAAAATCCTGCTAAAAGAGTGTTCACTATACAATGAACTTAAACATCGCAGTTCAGTTCATACTCCCTGAAATACGTTGAGCCTACAGGGCAGGTGTTGGTTCACTTCTCTCACAGGAGGGTTATTCTACTACTCTGAGATCTCTGATTGTTTCCAGAAAAGGCATATCTGTAACCTTCGGGGCCATGGTAACCAACAATATCATGTACCATTATACTAATGAGGAATACTCTTTTCAAGGAAGATTCAATGACCTCAAATGATTAAAGGATATTAGAGATGCATAGCCTAATGACATAAGAATAACTAGAAACTGGACTTTTACAGTTACTTCTTTTCTAGCACATTCATTCTACATGGCCTATTGCTTCAGATCTATACCAGTGTATTTTGATGGATGTTCTTCTTATAAATCAAGGGTGGAAAAATCACATTCTTATGCTACTAAGCAAGTAACATATATGCTAAACTATTTATAGTTTGACCAAGTTACTTTCCCCAGCAAGCACTTTTTCAGGTCAAACAAAACCAACAAAACCCTTGCAATGACGTTCAACCGCAGAAAACTGTGATAATGAAGAGTTTCTGAAAAGTAGGTTATTTTCTTCCACGTGTAAATTTAAGATAAAGATTAATGACAGACTTATTCATACAAAACAGACTTGTTCATAATGTTATCACAGATCAGTTTATTATTTTTAAAAGAAAAGAAAACAATGAAGAAGTTATAGTGAACAGAATATGATACGGAATGAATGAAAAATAAGAATTTACAAACAGATGGAACTGCCTCTAGCACATGAAGTTAAGAATTTTAAATTAACTGACAACAGAAAACAAATTCACTTTCTCTATGACAATTAACTAACAATGCTCTTTTTATGTAATAATATCAACCTAATACCAAATTGATACTTATGGAGGAATTATTTTTTAAGAAATTGGTTAATAACAAATTGGTAAGATATCTTTCTATAAAAATTGGACAGCATTTCAGCAGACCCTCACCTCCAAGTACTTCAAAATCCTACTAAATTTCTATCAGCATTTAATCCATGTTTCATTTGGATTTTCAAATTTTAGTGTCTGACAGAACTAAAAAGCCAGCTTTTGGTAGTCAGATAACTAAGAAAAATAAAAACACATGCAGTGCTAAATGGTTACTCTTCTTTCTTGTCAGTCATTCATTTTTACACTGCAAAAGTAAGGACAGTGCCCTCTTGTGCTGTGGGAGGAGGTAAAAACATAGGTATGGATTTAGGGTGCCTGCCTTTAAGACAGCTTTGATCTCTTCAGGTACTATTCTCAATGGCGTTTCAGTCTATGTATTAGATTTCGTTCTAGTCACTTTTGCACCAAAATGCACACAGGCATATTAAATTCCAGTGACCTGCTCCCATATTCTCTTCTGGGACAATAAACCCTTGCCACAGCAATTCAGAGTAAGACTGACAAAATTTCCGTGGAAGCAGAAGCTGGATGAATAGAGTATTACCTTTACTCATAAAGAGTAAGTTTCATGTAGCTCCTCTTAGCTGATGTGTAGGAACAGATTCAGAGGTACGTGAGCTCCAGATAGTGAATGAAAAAGCCCAAACTTCTACTGCCCCTGGGAGGATGTCTCAGGCTGTATTAAAATTCACAAACTGGTAACTCGCTCCATTATTCTACATTAATCTTGTGGTAATTCAGTTTTAAAACTTTGTATATAAAATGCTCAAATAATTCTCTATAGTTGGATTGGAATGAACAACATATTCATTGTGATTTGATTCATTTCGCTTAACCCTTCAGGGGAGCTGCAGTTCTACACAAAGGAGGAGCAGAGAGCCCCACAGGGCATTCAGGTTCATTTACCTTCTGAACACTGAGGAATGTCACAGACTTCGTAGCGTACCTCTGGATTGCTTGTGAAACACCACGGTCCCCCTTCTTCCCCTCGAGGATTTCGACAGTAGTTTTCCTGTAGGTCTTTACCCCGATAGCTCGAAGGCAAAAAGCTAGTTTTAAAATGATAATCATTACAGTATAAGCACATGCAACTTTACTTTGGGCCTATTAATTTTACTATTTAGTAATTTTACTAATTACTGGGTATGATTTTCCTTAAGCAGAGAAACCTTTAGTCGAATTCAGATCCCCATACATAGGGAGTACAAAAAATTCAGGTTTACAGTTGTGAGTACACAAAACACATTTGTTCTTGTATTATTATTTATTAATTACTGCATTATTTTCCATGTGAAGAACTGTAAACCTACTTTTGCCCCATCTAGTATATTGACTGGAATTGTCATTTCTATCTATTCTTAAAATCCTTAATTTTTATAAGTATTTACCTAACTTAATTGACATATTCAAAATCATTTAGCATGATCTATCTCTGGATTTGCAGAAAACCAAACATTCAAGAACCCAATTAACATTTTTTGAGCCACAATTTCAAAGCCTCGTTCAAAGACAGCAAGTGATTGAGCAAGGCTACTAAGGAGAGAACTGAAGAAACACCACAACTGACCTTGAAATCTCACAATTACACTGCTTATCCCACATAATTACCTGTTTGTTTTTTGCTTTTATTATGAAGAATTGCCCTCCTATTTCCTGCACAACTGAGAAACAGATTGATGAAGTTACACAAACAAAAGGTCTGTACTCAAATGAAACCTGGACTCAAATTTCACCTCTCTCGCTTACTGGAGACCCAGCAGGTAATTTAGTCTCTCTTGGCCCGTTAGCTTACCTTAACAACGAATAGAACCCTAACTTACAACATCTTACACCTTATGTGGTTGTTCTGAGAAGTTCTAAGAGATGACAGGGTAATTGGCAATAAATGCTACATATTATTAGGCACACTCCACTTAGTAGTCTTTGCTCTGTGGAAGTAAAGAACATGATCGCTATTCTTCAAAAACTTTACTTATTTTCACTGCGATTGAGACTCAGTGCTTCCAGGTTTAGTTCATAATAGTTGGCCATTGAGTGCAGAGACCACAATGTACTCCCTTCATTTAAAATCTCTAATGTCCTAGACATAGGTTTGTTAGCAGCACAAAGTATTTCAACACAATATCAGAAATAAAAAACTTTTTTTATTCTTTGTACTGCTTGTGGCATTGACCTCAATGATGCTGCACTTGTCTGCTAGATGGCACACACCAAAAAAAAATCATAAAGAAAGACTATACATCTGTAGGTAACACTAGTAAACACTGTTTTGAAAACCTGGTACCATTTTCAACATTAAGTTCTATTTTTGCTATGAAGCTTTTTTCCCACTTCTACTGATTTCTAAGTTCTAAATAGTACTTAAAGTCCAAGGATGTTAGTCTCTTATTAACTCATTCAAATGTGTTCCTTTCGCATAGAAACTCCTAATGAAAAAATATCATCATTTCATTTTACTATGTTTTGACCCAAAGTGAATGCGGACATACATCAGGTACTAAGCAACATTTTGCAATAAAACTGCAAATTTCATCATGAAGTACACCATAGTCAAGTCCTCAGAATGTATAAATTACTGGTCAAAGGAAAGAGTTTAGTCTAAGAGACTTACTACTAACCAAACATTTTCAAGGAAGCTATTAAATATGATTAACATTATTAAACTCCAAAATATCTTTAGATAAAAAGTTTATAGCCTTACTATACTGGCATTCTAAATATGGAAGAACAAAAAATTAGACATTAGTCCACATGACTAACACAATTAGAATACAATAAAGGTCATAACAATTTTACAGTTTCCTAACAATTTTAATTTTCAAAGTTAAAAGAAGCTATCTTTTATCTTAGTTTTAGCCCTATTTTGCCATTGCTTAAAATTTATTTTCTTTCATTTTTGTCAGTTCTCCAACTTTTCATAGTAGATTTATAATGAAATACTCATCATTTTGATAGGACCAAAGCTGATATTATGTTTATTCATAAAGTAATATATTAATCAAATTTACTTTAGAAAATACTTTTATAACTCTCTTATGGAAAAGCTCAGTATAATAGAGTATTAAGAATAAGCTATTATTCATCAAAAAACCTATATTGCTACCATATAAATATATATACAATTCAATTAGTATATGACACCAGTCCTTAGACAATTTATTTACTTTTTGGGTCTTCAACTTCTAGATTTATAAGATGAATAGAGTGAATTGGATTACTAGGAGGTCCTTTATTTTGTATCATTTTACATATTAACTTTACTTAAGAAACTAAATACACCCTAGCCAGGTAGGTCTGTTGTTTAGAACATTGTCCCAATATGCCAAGGTTGGGGGTCCAATCCCCAGTTGGGGCATGTACAAGAATCAACAAATGAATGCATAGATAAGCAGAACAACAAATGTATGTCTCTCTCTCTTAAATCAATAAATAAAAATTAAAAAAGAAACATGGCTTTAGCACATGTTAATGAACACAAGTATCAACAGTTAGGAAGATTTTTGTTCTGTGCACACATGCACAAATAAATATATACACACATATATATTTCCAGTGGATTCAATAAGCTGAAAAGAAGCTGTGAAAATGTAGTGAATGAATCAGTAAATGGCTTAGTAGGAAAAATAAAAGTAGGAAGGAAGAGAAACAAGTGGAAATCAAACCTAACTATGACCGAAAGATGAATAAAATTTCCCCACTGGAATTAACAAAATAAGAAATGAGAAGGTGTGCTCCTTTCCACAATTCTGTTCAATGCACATCAAATTCCCCTTTAAGGCATGCAAGGTAAAGAGCATTCTGGGTTATCTCTTCATTCTTTGTTTGTTTTTTTTATCCAAATAAACTTGCTTTTGTTTTTGCTTTGTGGGGTTAGAATGTTTTTCTTTAGCATCCCATGCTTGACCGAGAAGTGAAGCCTAGCCCCATTCTTTTCACTTATTGGTGTTCATTCAACAGATGTTTATGAAAACCTGTTACACTGCATCCATGTGCCAGTCAATGGGCTCTGTAGTAAACTGTTACTACATACAGATTATTTTTGGTTCTTTGCCCTTGTTAGCAGGGCTTTAAGAAAGAGAAGAAAGGAATATTTAAAATGGAGTTATATGTAAAGGTACTTTGAAACACAAATTAGATCTTCTGGGTGCTAGTCACCTTTTCTTTACTTTTAGTAGGAGCTGTGTTCATAGGAAACTTGATCTATTCCATCATCTGCTTTATTAATAAATGCAGGGTGGCCAATGAAGGACAGAGATGTAGATATCAGGTCACCTGATTTTCTAGTTAAGCTTCTATACTAATTCCATCATCTATCATCATCTTCCCATTAAGCCACTTATAAAATATTTCAATTTGGGGAGTCAACAGTAAATCATTCCTCTAGACAGAAACATACATATTTCTCTTTCCATTTCCCATGAAGTTAACCTTTAGTTAACACTTAACTTAAAAGTGTTAAGCTATCATGCAGACATTCCAATAATCTGCTACGTGATGCTAATGAAGTGTTGGTCCCATTGCATTTTAAGTGTTTTTAATTAATGTACAAGATCTTCTCAGCCCTAACTCAAGGAAGTGCTTGTTGGAAAAACAGCTGATTGGACTGGAAAGCCCATTCCCAGGGAGATCTATTTCATATGTATTCCTCTAGCAGAGAATCACAATCATAGAGAATTTGGGTTGAAATAAGACCTCTACTGGGTCAGTCCAGAGCAATCTCCTCAACCAGGGCAAGACTGATTTCAAATGCTGTTCCTTCGTTCATGAAAAGCATAGATTTATCTATTTAAATAAAATGGTTTCCTCACTATCCTGGGACTGACACTATTCACATACTTGTAAGAGGACAAAACCAATGACCAGTATACTGCCTGTTTTTGTAATATGGAAAATACTATGTTGCAGAAATATTTGTATATACTTAAAAGTAAATAATTTGGAAAAATGCATTGTTTTACATTATTGCAACACAGTAAAGCTGATCAGTTTGAACAATTTCTAGTTGGTGTTAATTAGGCCAAGATCCCAGTTTTGATCCCAATGTAGAACAACAAACTTTTTTTTGTTGTATGTGGTCCAATTAACTCCTCTATGTTTACAGAAGTACAATCATCTTGCATAACTATGCCCTCCAAAAATTAATGAAATGGAATGAAAAGTGGATTCATCAAAGCGAAATTATCCTGACTATTGCAACACCAAGTCACAGCATGTGTCCTACTGGCCTGCTAAGTGCATCCTGCCAGGGGCTGTAAAAAGCAAAGGTTACAAAGTGACACTTGCTGGACTCGGATGCTAGCCACACCACTTACTAGCTGTGAATGACTCTGAAAAGTTACCAAGGCTCTTTGAGCTTCAGATTCACTATATGTAAAACAGAGTTAATAAAACCACTGTGTGGTTCTTCAGAGGATTAAATGAGATAAACTGGGTATACTGCTCGGAATGGCAGTGGCACATGATAAACTAAATCTTCTAATGCATTTAATAACCAGGGAGAGCTATTCTGAATTTAAATCTTGAAAACTCACTAAATTTAGTTCTCTAGTGGTTAGTAGATAGTTACCTATGCTTCTCCATTAGGATTAAAACTTTCAGACTAATGAGCTTCTGGAAACTAGGTTTACTCATCTTTAAATAGCATTCATCTGTTATAATGAACACAATTCTTAAGTGTAGACATTTAATTCCTGAGGAATGAAAAGTTTTTCCAGTCACTGGGCAATAGGTGGATGGGAAAGCTGGTCAGCCTGAGGCAGGAATTTTTAGCAGAGGTTCTCAGTTTTGACTGTACTTCGCAATCATCTGGGGAGCATTTAAAAAAATGCTGGCACATGGGTTCTTTCTCCAAGAGATTCTGGTTTAACTGGTCTATGTTGACACCCTGTATGGTAGATTCATTAAGGGCTCCTAGCAGGTGATTTTAAGAGAACCACCAAGTTAAAGAATATTTGGCTCCTAGATAAGGTCAGAATGTTGTCCATCCCTAATTTATAGTCAACCTCTTCACTTCAGCTACACAGTGATGAACTTTCTCAAAGGCCAAAGTAGAGATAAATATTTTTTTAAAATTACATTGTCATTATTTTTCACAAACATCAAGATCTATAAATTAAGGATTTTTTATTTTTTTAATTTATTGATTTGAGAGAGAGAAAAAGGAAAGAAGAGAGACAAAAACATTGATTTGTTTTTTCCACTTATTTATGCATTCCTTGGTTGATTCTCATATGTGTCCTCATTGAGGATAGAACCTATGACCTTGTCATCCTGGGGCAATGTTCTAACAGCTGAGCTAACCAGCCAAGGCTCAACATTGAGGTTTTGATGTAAGATAATGTTAGGCCACATCTTCATAATTTATTAATCTTTGGCTAAATATCGGTCATGAATTCACATAATCTTTGGTTTAATGTAATTCGGCAAAGTTGGCTGAGTTATTACAGCATTGCAGGATTAGCCTGAGGAGGTAACAGGTTTATCCTCTCTTTTTCATGGTGTTCTTACCTGTGTTCATGGGGGATCATGGAATTCCAGGGCTGACATTTGATGCCACTCTTAGTGATAGACACTGTTCCCTTGTAGCTACGTCCTTTACCAATGATGCAGTTTCTAATATAGTCTATTAGAAGAAAGCAGAGAAAAATGCGATGAATGAACTATGCTGCATCTATTTAAAAGAAAAAGAAAATCCCATTCATATCTTTAAGCAATTAATGCTTGAAAACTATCTCAAATCACATTGAAATATGTTGCCTAAAATTTCTACTAATATTTTCAAAATAATTCATTTCAGAATAATTCAAAACAAAACAAAAAGAATACTGAGAAGTTTCATTTCGTGGGCATATATGTGGGTTACTGCACAGATTATTCTATGTATTCACACAGTCTTTATACTTAATTGGCCAGGCAAATTAATTTTTTTATTTAATCTTTATTGTATTTTCTTCCATTACCATTTAGTCTCTTTATATGGCCAGACCAATTTAAAGAAGCAGAATGATTTGCCAAATGATGCAGACCATGTTAAGAAAATATTAAAAGTGAAAATCAAGTGATTTATGAGACCTACAATAAATTCAGAAAGTTACTTTAAGATAATAAAAATAAGTAATTTGCCTTAATCTCAGTAAAATTGTGTGTGTTTCTATATATGTGTGCATGTGTGTGTGAGAGAGATTTACATTATTTTGATTTTTTCATATTTTTGCTAACACTTCAATTGTTAAATTATAGGGCAATCAAACTGAAAGATGCTGTATATTCCTATCAAACATATTCCATTGGTAGCAACCTAGAAGACTGAAGATGGTCTCACACTAGATGATGAGCAATGTTTAGGATTTGTAGAATTATTGGGGTGTATAAAGATCATCTTATTTTGTACCACAAATTAATCTTAATTTAATTTAGATATATACCATGTTATAAGAAACTATGTTTATATTACCAAGTACCCAAATTAATAAGACAATATGATTTAAGAAAACATTAAAATTAAAATAAATACTACTATAAATACAACCCATGATTATTTTTCTGTTGAGATTCATTTTGTTAAATTCACATTTATTTAACATTCTTCAATTATTTATTGATATAATTCTGCTTTTGAACAAAGTAAACAGCTTTTGAATATAATATCAGAATACCAAAATAGACAACAAGTAATTTGGTCTCAACTTTTTTTAAAGAACATAATAATTAGAAATAGATTCAATTCATTTTTCAATATCTACACAATTTTTACGATCAGCAATATCACTATAACTTAGTTATTGAAAGTTGTTAAAATTTAAAATACTGTAGGAAGCCCAGAATTTGCTGTAATGTAAGATGTCTTAAGGTGACAGCTTAATGGTGGCATTTTCTAAAATAACATGGAGAATACCAATTCTAAAGAGGCTCCTACAAATAAACGGAGAAGGGGTAATCTAATTATAGAAAGTTTGGGAAATGATCTCTTTAATCAAAAATATCACACTGGAGATCATCAACGTGCTCATGTCATCTGTCTTAATGGATAAATTAGCTGCATACCAGATGTAGCAGATAAGAGAAACATCAGGGGGAAGGAACACTGTGGCAGGAAACCACATATACTTTATACTTTATTTCACTATGAATATTTAGGGAGAGGCCAGTTACCTTTGTTTTCATAGAGGTCAAATTCATGGCCAAACTCTTTTTTCACTCCACTGGACATGCTATTGAAGGGGAACCACAGGCATCGTTTTCTTGCTTTATCAAAAACAAAGGCCCTGAAAAAAATATCTGAATGAAAAGAAGGAATACTACTATTTATACAGTTTTTAAAGAATGGACACATGGTTTAACCAAGGAGGGCAATATAAATGTCTTTCTGAAGAAAAATGATAAATGCAAACATGTCTTACCCAAGAATAGTGAATAAAGTACTTGAAAATTTTTTCTGTATTTTAAATGTTACCATTTTTTTTACAATACACAAAATGATATTAGAATTTTGGACTATTTTCCTTCCATTAAGAAATTATATTAAAATGTCTCACTATTGTACTTACAATGCCACCATGTACAAGTAGTACACAGATTTTCTAAAATATAGACTTTTTCCCAGTCCATATATTTTTAGGAACAAATAATCTTCTAATATGAGATATTTCAATTTAGTCATTTATTTCTTAGTCTTGACAACTTTTAAATAATATTAAACAAGGGGAAATAAGGTTTATAAAACAAGTATTAAAAATACATAAAATTTTTATTTTAGAAAATATTTTACCTATTATTGTATGTTTTATTTACTATTTTGTATTCTATATCCATAACTTCAAAACATTATAATCATAAACTCTGTGCTTTGATATACACATAGATATTTCACAATGCCTACCTATAAAAACACTTTACAGCTGGAAGAGTAATTAAGAGTAAATCGTAAAAATATTTTTATGACTGTGGCAGAATGCCTTGATAAGAAAAAAATTGGGTACTAATAGACTTGAATTTTGATCTGGTAGACCGTAAGCTTGTGCAATACATGTTAAATTCCCGATTTCCCTAATGTAGGGTGTCAGGGAGAGGGTGTTAAATGACCTTGAAAACATAGGAATTAGGTAAAATTACATATATAAATAAAACTAAACAAACATCTAAGAATAAATGTTAAAGTTATAGACTCAATAACTTGTCACATAGCTGCACATTAAAATAAAAAATGTACCACACACATGTAAACTACTTTTCCATATGACTTTGACATGAGATCACCTTGCAGGAGCCCCAACAGGAACACGCAAGATTTGCTCTGTGAAAACCAATGTGACTACATTGGAAAGTTGGGGACAAGGTTTTCAGTCTGATTTTATTCACTTTTTTCTCTACTATTCTCTCAGGAAAGTGTTTCCTTATATCATTACACCTCCATTTGGACTGGATCTAAGCTGTCAAATTTTGTGAATTGCAACTTCTTTTAAGTTTGACTTTATACATCTTTATCTTAGCCTTATTTTAATTATCATCTTCACTTCAAGAATTTATTTAGTCTAGTTTTCTAGTTGTTCATGGCTAGAGAGGCGAGCCTCCCATGTTTTTCTCTTGAGCCAATTAATGAATAGCAATTTTCTGAAGAACTTGGAATTCTGGTCATTTTTCCTACCCAGTAAAGAAAAATTTCCATCTCCATAAAATCAATATTGTTGATCCCTCCTCAAGAGAAAAACAGTATTTGAGAATATTCCATTCCGTGACCGCTCAATCATACATACTTTCACACAGCTTCGTTAGTGTTTTCCAAATATTTTCCTTATTTACCATTGTTTTCCAATGATTCTAATCCATGGAACAAGTTAGCAAAAAGATCCTTTAATCCATTAAGAATCAAGTATCAGAGTATCACATTATGTCTATCTAATTCTGAATAACTAACATATTTAGTGATTCCAAACACACATGTATAATATACGCATAATGTGATAGATGAACAAGAATGATGACACCATTTCCAGACAGAAGAATGGTTGTTATGGATAATAAGGTTAATAATACCCAGTTACTAATACCCACATTATTACCAATATTATTACATGTGGTCTTCTGTACAGGTTGCCATAAATTTGGAGACTAAATTTAACACAACCAGGATATGGTGTGAAAATTTTCACATAAGTTATGTGAAAATATGAAACCTCATATATATACATGGGATATGTAAAGATTTCCTAATCATATCACATGTGTTCTCCAAGGAAGCGAACACATTTTAGTTTTCCTAAATAAAACAAAGGAAAGCATTTTATGTTTTGTTTTGTTTTTAATAGGTATTAGTCTGATTAATGTGACAAGCAAAAGACAGCAATTCTTTCTTTACTTCTGGATCCAAGAGATTGTATTTCAGTTTCAGAGTTAAAAACCAACAGTGGGATGTGGTTCTCTGATCCCCTGTGCACAGCCCTTCCAAACCCAGGAGGAAAATGCAGTACCTCCAACCTCCTCCGCTGCCAGAACATCATCTCCAGAGATGTTGAGTGAGAGTGATTTTTTTCCAATTTACTTTTCACTATCTCAAGGTTTTATCAGAAAGGGAAAGAAACAGAATCTAGATAGGCATATCCTTGCAAAGTCAATCCCCCCTCTCCCTGACAAGAAATATCCTCCTGAAAGTAGCAGTTTGACTATAAAAATACTTCCACAGGAGCTGAAAATGAATAGGAAAGAGATAGTCTTTCCTCCCTCCAAATCTGTTGAAGATCTCCTCTGACCATGTCCTTTCTCCTCAGGCCTATAATAGTCGTTTCTCTGAGAAAGGCAAGATGAGATGAAGACCACTTGCCATGACTTTACTAAACCTGTGTTCACATTATGGGTCATGACCCGAATGTAGTACAGTAGAATTTAAAATTCACAGGGTGTCATGTCAATCCTATAAAATATGGGATGAAACAGGGAATGAAAGGGTAGAACATTAAGTGAGGAGAGAAATGTTTATGGAGAAGAACTAAGAGATGCAGTTTCCTCAGGCACTGAGGCAGACTATTCCGATGAAATTGTCACCTCCATTGCCCCAAACTTTAGATTCCATCCTCTGGGATCACTGGCATAGTAGTAAAGAATTCTTCCCTGTGAGGTCACACAGGGACTGTCACAAGATGAGAAAACTCACTGAGTCCCCTCATGCCTCTTTGAATTACCCCATCACATTTCACCTAAAACATCATCATCACTAAGCCTCGCCTTTTTTTAAAAGCCTCTGCTGCTGACACCAATCTCTCTTGTTTTTTATCCAGTTCTCTCAACACCTTTTATTTAAATCCCCAAAGACAATGACATAAGTTATAGTAAATTTTGGCTCTTGCCCAACTTCTGAAAATTCCTTTACTCCTCTTGTATGAAAAAAAATGTTTACTCTGAATAGAATATTTTTAAATGATAGACAGATAAAAGTCAATCTAATTAAATTTTAGCTCCTGAGACAGCCAAGATAGAGGTGTAAGTAGAAATGTTTCACTTCCTCTCACAACCAAAAGGATATCAACCAATTTAAAAGCAAAAAACAACCAGAACTGCCAGAAAATCAAACTGCATGGAAGTCTGACAACCAAGGAGTTAAAGAAGAAACATCCATCCAGACCAGTAGGAGGGGAGTAGATAAACAACTGGGGCAGAGAGAACATGTGGCAAAGTGGAGGACTGAGTGGGAAAGGTGGCTGGCGGACAGGACTTCCTACATTCGTGTGAGGATAAGCCAGGAGGATCACCTGGGGAGCAAGAAAACCTGTGCAACCCAGGGTTCCAGTGCAGCAAACTAAAGCTTCAAAACTTCTAGTTGTAAAAATCTGTGGGGGTTGTGGCAATTGGAGAAACTACCAGCCTTACAGGAAAGTCCACTGGAAAGACCCATGGGGTCCTAGAACATACGCAAGCCCACTCACCCAGGAATCAACACCTGCTTGAAAGGACACAGATTGAAAGGATACAATCTGCTTGTCAGAAGCAAGGAAAGTGGGGCGAGAGACAAGCAAATGAGGAAGCAACACTGTCCCCTCTTTGACCCCTGCCCCACATACAGTGCCACAACGCAGTGAAGTAGCTTGCCCCACCCTGGTGAATACCTAAGGCACTGCCCCTTACAATATAACAGGTGCACCGAGACAAAGAAATATGGCCCAAATGAAAAAAAGAACGGATCCAAACTCCAGAAAAAGAGCTAGGCAACAAGGAGATAGACAACCTATCTGATGCAGAGTTCAAAACACTGGTAATCAGGATGTTCACAGAAACGATTGAGTTCATTTGCAAAATGAAGGAAGAAATGAAAGATATATAAAGTGAAATACAGGAAAATATACAGGGAACCAATAGTGATGGGAAGGAAACTGGGACTCAAATCAATGATGTAGAACAAAAGGAAGAAATAAACCTTCAACTAGAACAGAATGAAAAAAAAACAAGAATTTTTAAAAAATGAGGACAGGCTTGGGAAACTCTGAGACAACTGTAAACACTCTAACATCTAAATATAGGGGTGCCAGAAAAAGAAGAACAACAGCAAGAAATCGAAAACTTCTTTGAAAAAATGATGAAGGAAAAAAATCTCCAATTTGGTGAAGGAATGAGACACACAAGTCCAGGACATTCAGAGAGTCCCAAAGAAGTTAGATCAAAGAAACACACCAAGACGCATCATAATTAAGTTACCAAAAATTAAAGATAGAGAGAGAATCTTAAAAGCAGCAAGAGGAAAGAAGACAGTTACCTACAAAGGTGTTCTCATAAGACTGTCAGCTGATTTCTCAAAAGAAATCTTGCAGGCAAGAAGGGGCTGGAAAGAAGTATTCCAAGTCATGAAAGGCAAGGACCTACATCCAAGATTACTCCATCCAACAAAGCTATCATTTAGAATGGAAGGACAGATAAAGTGTTTCCCAGATAAGGAAAAGTTAGAGGAGTTCATCATCAACAAGTCTTTATTATATAAATGTTAAAGGGACTTATCTAAGAAAAAGAAAATAAAAAACTATGAACAGTAAAATGACAACAAACTCACAACTATCAACAACTGAACTAAAAAAAAACCCTAAACAAACAACTAAAACAGAAACAGAATGAGAGAAATGGAGATCACAAGGAGGGTTATCAGTGGAGAGGCAGTAGGGGAAGAATGGGGGAAAGGTACAGAGAATAAGAAGCATAATTGGTAGGCACAAAATAGATGGGGAGGTTAGGAATATTATGGGAAATGGAGAAGCCAAAGAACTAGTATGTACGACCAGTGGACATGAACTAAGAGGGGGGATGCTGGAGGGTGATGTGGTACAAGGTGGAAGAGGATAAAGGGGACATAAAATTGAGACAACTGTAATAGCACAATCAATAAAATATACTTTAAGATAAATTTTAGTTCCTAAAGTTCGATTATTTATAAGATGATAAAGCATAAATTATATAATCAAAGCTACTATATTCTAAAAGATTCAGTTTATATGCAATTCCTTATTCAAATTTCCATCATCTGAAAGCTAAGTCTTCTGTTGTAATGTGTTCAAAACGAAAGCCAAGCTTTTAATTTTAAGGGCAGATTACACTGAATTAAAAAAAGTCATGATGATAATAAGTACATGGTATATTTGGAAAATCATCCTAAAAACAAAATGAAGAAACTTACTTGCAAGTAAAGGGAAGTCCTCTATTCCTAATACATCTATTGGCACATTGGTCTGCAGTGTTCATTTTTTTTGTTTTAATCTTCAGTAATGGGTCTTCTTTAAACAAAGTAGTCTTTGCTGACTTTTTGAATTCGTGAAGTGTGTTTCTTCTTTTCTTCTGCCCTTCTATTAATAATAAAACAAACATGGAGAATAAACTTTTAAGGCTCATGTGAAAAAAAAGTCCTTAAGGATCATCTACGAGATGATGATTTTATCTGAAAACATACTAGACCTCCAGGGATGGAGTGGTGGGGAATGGTATCATCAGTTAGTTAAGAGCAAGAGAGGAATATTCTAACCAGTAGAGAATAAATAACTGGTTATGTAGAATCACTCATCCACATTCTTTCAAATGAAGGATGTTTTTAAAAATTAGGACAGAGTACACACTAAATAAATAATTAATGTGATGGTCTCCAAACAGTATGAAAGCGAGGGCCCAGGAATATCATAATATGCTCTGTAATTTGGTGTTTCCTTCTATAATCGGTCCCTGTTTGTAATAGTATTAATTAGATAAGTTGATTCAAAGACAGGTGAGAAACTTCTCACTAAAAAATGGTGCAGTCGACAAATTCTTCAGACTTGCTCTTTAAAGTATCTCATACCATTCATATTTTAGCCTTTCTCATTTCCTACGTAATGTTTTCTGTGCTTTGGGGCACTATTTCTTAATATCACTGAACTATTTGTCTTGAAATCAACCCAAATGCTGTAAATCAAATGTTTGTAAAACTTCATCCTTTAATGTAGCAATATCATTTTCTTCCTTAAAGTACTCTACAAGGCCCCTAGATAGCAGGACGCCTCCTTGTTAAAAACCTGAAAACAAACTAAAACACCCTAAAAGATGCAATCTATTTAATAACATTAGAGTATCAAGAACTTGCTTCATTATTCTCATTTTGCCTGAAGTTATCTGGTTTCTAACAACGATCCCCATCTTTACCATGAAGATGAAAATGTCTATGAGACAGCAGCCACAGTATAAGGATAGACACGACAGTGCCCCTCCTCTGCCTGGCCATCCTTTGACTACCCTGTAACAAAGGCAGTGATAATATACTCATTTTTAAGACGTAGAAATCAAGGCACAGGGAAAAATTGACCACTTAGAAGATCTGATTTGAAACACAGCCACTTGGCTTCAGAACCTTCAATCTTAAACACTTACGATGCCATCTTTTCTGGAAGAATTTTTAAGAAGGGATGTGAAATTAAGGCTTATAAATACTTCCTGAAGATTTAGTTTAGGGCTATCAGTAGAGAAGAAACTTGGCCATGAGAACAGGAAATGCATTCTTGGCTTTTATATGTGGTGAAGTGTGTCAAGAAAACAGGGTGAAAATTTGGAAATTTGGCTGGCAGAGTGAGGGACCAAGAATGGCATTATACTCTTAAGTTTGCCAGCAACCACTGGCTTCAGCTGGTTTATTAAATGGACAGATGCTACTTATTAATGTCTCTCCTAACCTGAACTTCACAATAAATGAGAAAAAAACATGAATTCCTCTAAATTTCTTGTTCTCTATAAAACTCCAGAACACAAGGCCCAAAAGACTGGCACTAATTTCTATTGTAATGCTTTCATTTTTAACTTTTCTTTGCCCTACAAGATTGAATGGCTATGGGGCAACAGATACAATTTAAAAGACACTTTAACACAGGAATTCAATCAACCAAATAATCTATCAACATGTTATTTACTGTGTACCAAATGTCTTGCATAATGTTGGCAGAGAGATGATACAATTCTGGTATTCTCACTGACTTGCCAAATGACTTTGTTTAATTACCTGAAATGCTAATTTGCCAGTTACTCAATCTAAAAAATACAAGGTATATTATATCTGAATTAAAAGGAGCTTTTTAAACTATAATCATTAAGTAAGCACTTGGAAACCAATATGGATAAATAATGTTATTAATATGCAATGTTTTAAGTTTGTTTTTGAAATATTATTCTTTAGTCTAGCATTAGAGTGATACCTATTCTCCCAAGCAAAAATGTGGTAAAATTATTTTCAAATTTTGGTTTCCACCACAGGACCATGTTAATGGGAGATGCATTTCTTCATTAACAATTTCTCCTTCTTTTGACCTTAGTGCACTATTTCTCAAGTGCTATAAAATGTTTCACAGCACAATGATCATCTCATTTCCTGTATAAATAGGAATATTTCTTAGAAACAAATATAGCTAATAGATACAGATCACGTATTTTTTAAAAAGCCTATACACCAAAATGAAAGAATTAGATGTGTGTGTATATACATATTTATTTCTCAAATAAATTATGTTAACTAAAAATACTGGATTAATTGACCTCATGTATAAGGTATTTATTATGCACATCAAGGTGCCAGAGAAATTTTAAAAGTCTAAGATTAACATTAAGTCCAAATATGAATTTTACTAATTATCAAATAAAACAGAAACCCCGGTCAATGCCCTGGTCTCTTTTCTTAATGCCATGCAATATGAAGGCAAGCACTGAAGACTGCTAAGAGAAAGAGAGACTCTGTGGGTTTGCTGGTGGGGTTCGGTTCTGCAGCTCCTCCTCAGCTGTCCTCCTGAAATGTGTTAATATGTGACCTCATAAAAACTGTCCATCACTACCTTTCACCTAATGATAAAAATACATTCTATGAAGCAAATAAATCTATGATTTCCCTTTACTAGATAATAAATAGGAGTGAAAAACTTGTCTGGGGGCTACAAAGCTAATCAGAGGCAATAGGAAACAGATACTAGGATTACCTTTTCACTATTTATTTCTCATGACTTTAAGCTTTCCCTTAAACTTCAGTCATTTCTAGTGGGTCAGTAACTAATTACTAAAAAATGTGAAGTTCAAGCTACTTGTACATCATGTAACACACACATTTATGAAATTAATTCCTTCTTCAATGAAAGAAAAATTCAAAACAGAAGTCATTCAAAACAGCATCCAAAAATAAAATTTGCTTGCAGAAAAAACTTTCAACTTTCTCTTCCATATGTATTAACAACTGATGCTTGTTTTACTGAAAACAGTTAAAAACTTCATTTGGAAAGAAACTCAAAAATATCGTTGGATCAGATTTTGCCCTGCTATTTTTTTATGCATGACTGTTTGTTGAAGTTTATAAACAAAATATTGAAATGAAATCAAGGGGTGAGAGATCACTCCAACTTTGTCATGTTTTCCTATACTTTAAATTGCAAGTCCTTTTTCCTCTTCTCCTTGTATGGGAAAACATTCTGGAAGCTATATTTCCTGAAGAACTCGAAGTCCCTGTTTTAGAACTGAAATCATTAGGGTGGTAGTGAAAACCTACAGAGAGTAGGGTCAAATGTATCAAGGTGCTTGAAGAAAGACACATTTCTCCCTCTGGTCCCTGGGCCTCGCACTCATTTCTCTCAGTACCTCATATATTTTCTTCTCTGTATGGACTAACCATTGACTTCAAAGGAAAACCATGCAAGGAAAGGATTTGCAGGGTGTAGAAAGAAGCAGGAATCTGGCTCCACGTATTCTGAGAAACCTACCCACATGATTAGTGATTAACAGCTTCAAGTGACAAGATGTTAAGATGAAAGTACACAAATAATTAATGGAAGGGAATGGTTGTGACTGGAGATTTTAAACTTCTCAGAGACAAGGATCATAAATACTGGTCCAGATTTCCATGGCTATAATCGAGGACTTGTACTTCACAATCATCTCCCCTTCTTTAGAGAAAAAGAACAATATCACAAATAAAGACGTCAAGAAGACAGAGATATGTCAGACTTAAATCAAATGTTGCTATTTGAGAAGCAGCATAATGACTTCTACCGAAGACACTGACAAAATGAAGCCATGTTCAGTCGGAGATCAGGAGCCTCCCTAAATATTTCCCTCCTATTTCATTCCCCTTCCTTGTCCAGTACTTCACTGCTGTAGAAACCTCCTGGTCTCTTCCTTCACTGCCAGTTTCTGCCAACCACTCTCCTTCCACTCACAGCAACTTCCATCAAGTACCTTGTCAACTCAGGAAAGTTTGTCAGCTGCCCATGATGTTCAGAATAGTTTAATATTATACTCACCACTTACGTATGCTATCATGTCTTACTTCTCTAATCACAAGTCCTATTACACACCTCAGGTGCTCCATACACTAGCCCCGCATCAGTTACCTGTCCTTTGTTGTGCTCTCTCACCTGTACACATTTGGTCAGTTTGTGTTCCCCTGACTTAGGCACTCACTGCACTGTACAACTATTCATCTTTTCATACTTAGCTGGGGGACCCTATTCACCCTAAACCTGGCTTGATCCTCTAACCTAAAAATGAACTCCCTCTCAATCACGTATAATAGTATTTCTAAAACAAAGATATTCTTACAGTTCTTATAGCAAAATGGATTTTTTAAAGGGCAGTTTCAACTAACTTCACAGCTAGTGGCTTTAGTATAAATTGTTTGTTTGTTTTTGTTTTTTTAATCCTATATATTTCATTCACATAGATTTGTGTCACAATCTCAGTCCTATCCCTTAAACTAAGATAATAAGATAATTAAGGTCATTAATATCAGTTTCCTCATGTTAGATGAGTCCAACAATGCCAATCTTACTAGAATTAAATAAGTGTTATTTTTAGGGCTTGGTCCACACAGCTGCTCAATAATATAGGTTTCTATGTCATTTGTTCATCTTTATAACCTGCACAGTAGGTGCTCATTTAATGCTTCAGTTGTTACAAGGGATTGGATATCTGTTTCCAGTGTAGGTAGGAGCAGATGGAGGGTAATTCTCTGTAGACCAACTTCTATAAAAATGGCTTGGGTCCAGAGTATTAAATATTTCTTAAGGAACTTTTAAATGAAATATGTGCATAATACATTCTGCTCATAACTGTCACCTCATTATAGTATTCAATTCTTTTTCTAACATTGCATTAATTAACAATATGTACAACATAAAGGTATAAGATAAAAAGAATAACGGAAGAAAGTGACAACAACAAAAAATTCTAAATGTTTAACATTAGGTGGTATATAAAAAAGAACAAGCACTCTTTGTATGTTCTAAGAGAACTATCCATGGTTTCCATTTTGAAAACTGTTATTTAAAAAACTATCACACTTGCCACCCAACAAAAGCAGACCCTCTTTTGATGACAAATTTTAGCATTATACACTTCAGGAATTATTCACAGCATATCTGTAATTCCCAATTGGCCTCTCCTTGCCTGCCAGCACGCTCTTGTGCTGCATTTTCCCTCCACTCAGGAAGCACAGTCATTTCAACATTAGCCAAAGTGAAATATAATTACAAATGTATATCTCCTGCCAAAACTTCATAATGCGTGCCAAAAATAAATAGACATTGTCTATGGTTGATCTACTGTTTGGGTTTTCCCCACTGGGTTGCCCTTGCCTGCAGTAAGCACAGAGGATTTCAGATACCTGTAGTCTACTTCAAACCATCACCATTTTAATCTTTAAAAATGAAAGACCTCCAAATATAAGCCACGACTCCAGTTTATGCTCAAACTCCCCTCGACCGGCGATGTCTTGGAAGAACCTACTCTAACATGACACACCTCAAACACGTGAACCTGGGGACTGCACTCACTTCTCTTTCACCTCTTTGGAAACCTGACCTACATGTTTTCAAACTGACCCTTCCCACACAGCGCTGATTTCCAAAAGGGCCACTTCACAAAATAGAAGAAAGCCAGGTGGACTGGATGATTTCTTATCACTTAGCAAATCCTTGATGTTTCTTTCCAACCTTTGTATTACATCAGAAACTAGTCCAGAGGTCTGATGAATTTCATACTTAACTTATCTCAAAAGATACAGCCAGTTCTCTGTTTCAGATGACAACAAGGCCCCGTCTGCCACCTGGGTTTTTGTTCCAGCCTTTTATTCCCCTGTGCCCATCCGTGATGCTCACTGCCTTCTCCCCTTGGCATCCCAGCCACTACAATGATAACACAACCAAAAGCAGATGTTTCCTCCTGCCCTGATTACAACAGAAAACTTCCCAAAGTGGCAAATGAAATCTCTCAACTTTCACGCGATCTGCACTCCCAGGCAACTTCTTCCCAACCTGTAAATTCAGGGGAGAAAACGAGTCACTGGAAGGCGTTCTGCAGCCTTAATCAAAGTCCCATAATTTTTGCCTTCCTTGCCCTGCAGTTCCAAAGGGCAGGGCATCCATGCCCAGGCAGAAGGAGATCTTAGAAGGCAGGCTTTCTCTTTCATTTTCATAACATGCAGATAGTCAGAGTTTAACCTGCTTTCTCCCAACGTAAACCTGCATAAAGCCAGAATTTAGCTCTGAATGTTGACCAAGTGATGTGGGGGTAGTGGATTGTCATGGAAAATTATTTTCTGGAAGAAAATGATTCCCTGCTGTCCTGACCATCACTCTCCCCTCTTCAGACCAGACCTCCTGTACAGCCTGAAACTTGTCCCAACCAGCCAAGATCCAGCCAGTGTTAGTTAGCACTTCATTCCTATCCCACAGTCCACAACTATTAGGCTAAGTGAGAAGGGGCTGGGTCAGTAGGGGGTGGGGGTGGGGGAGACACACCGAGGGGATGCTAATTATCATTTTAACTGCTTTGCAAATAGAAATAGCTCCAAAGAAAGGACAATGGGAAATTTTAAACTCCCTTACCTCACACTGAGCTGAGACTAAGGCTAAAGAGAGAGTGTTAGGCAAAGGAGAGGTTAGTAAGGCAGAGTTAAAATAATAATAATAATAATAATAATAATAGAACTAACCTGTATAGGGGATGGCGATGGGCAGCAGGAGGAGATGGAGGAGGGAATGCTGTAGCAGCAGGACTGGCAAAAGTTTGGTCACCCACATGGTGCTGCTGGCCGCCCGCGGACCCCACCGGAGGCGATGCCTGGGTAAAGGAATCCTGCTTCGACTCAGTGCCTAAGAGAGCCCAGTCGGCTCTGAGCAGCTTTTTATTGCGATGAGCTAAATTTGTTGTGTGATTAACTGGAAAGATCTAGGTCTGAACTCCCTCTTACGGTAAGAAACTGTTTAACAACAGCCCTTTACTCTCTTCCACCCTCCTCCTTTCCTCACTACCCCTCCAAACAGCACCAAACAGATCCCAGCTCCCCGCCCCCCTCCACCCCCCAAACTCTGCTTAGGAAAGAAACTTACAAAGAAAAGGTCACCTGGCCTGAGGCCAGCTTCAATTTGGAAGCTCTAGCTCCAGATCCCAGTGGCTCCTATCCGAGTGGGGAAGGGAGGAGCAAGGCTCAGCCCAATAGCTAAACCAAGTCACAGACAGAGGACCAATTCGCTAAATTTAAACAAAAAAATACATGTGTTTACATATCTATTTGGGAAAAGAGGAAGGGGAAGCAGCATAAGAAGAAAACGAAAAGCTGCTTTTCTGTCAAATGTGCCTTAGCTTCTGATCTGTCTAGTTTCACTGCTGGAGTAGTCTCAGAATTCAAAACACTGACACAGGTTCCCTAGGGTGTGAAACACGGGGTGGGAGGGGAGGCCGCGGGAGGTAGAGCTCAGGCAGGTCCATCCTAACTGGAGAGACGTTAGATAATAAAAGGGTGTGGTGTGTATGGTAAACATAAACAAACAGGGAAAATAAAAGCACCCACAATGTCAGGTGGGTAAGACGCCCCTGTCCAAAGGGCTCAGCGCAGGCAGTTATGTTTCCGAAGCTGTGCTAAGCTCCTCCAGGCACTACAAACGCGCCCAGACTGCACAAAAGAAACTTGTCTGATCAGGGGTCTGATAAAGTCTGGTCAAGTTCTCAAAATGTGTAAGAGACTGGGATTGTCCACCAACTATCCGGTCAGGTAAATGTGGCATGGACTACGTGTCCTTGTACACACATATGCACAGACACAAATTATGTCTGCTTCATGTGCATACCTTCAAAGACTAACTTTCTCTGAAAATCTTTCAGACTGTTTCAACACATGGGTAATGAATGGACCACTCTTCTTCATCTCCCTTCCCTGCATTCACCCACCCAGCCTCCCAAAAGCCAAGTGGAGGGATGAAGAGCTTTGTGAGGCAGGGCAGGATAAAGGGGAGAGAGACGTGGCTCATCTGTAGAATCTTTGTGAAATCATTGCCCGGACTCCACATTTCATTGAGAGGATTTGCCTTTGCACTGCTCTAATTATTATTTTCAGCAAGCACTTGCTTTATTTTTAATGGTTTTGGGGGGATAGTTGCCAAGTGTGTCTTTGAGATGACTGCAAGCGGGAACCAGCATCTCTGTGAACAGAGGAAGGGAAGGTGGGCATATTCGATAATGACTCCGGAGCACAGTGCCTCTGTGCAGAAGGGCTGCTGAGAAAATCCACAGAGCAGCCCTTCCTCAGTGTCCGGCTCTCACTCCTCATCCTCCAGCTCCACCAATCCTCACCTGCACAAAAAAACCCAGGGTTACGCGATGGCTAGAGAAGCTGGGGATTAAGTTAAATACTTTGAGGAATCCTCTTTGTAGCACCTTTCTTTCGTTAACACTTCTCTTTGATCATTTTCTGTTTATAGAAACAAAACCAGCGAAACTTAAAAACCATTTGTCACCTTCTCAGTGGTGTTCCAAGTACCCATTTTACTTTCCTTTGACTTTCTATCACCGTTTTTGGAAAATCTCCATTTTAGTGTATCACACAAATGTGATCCTGCATTGTCCTGCGGCATCTCTTGGGATTTATAAGGATTCAAACTCCTTTTATAGGAGCTAGATATTTCTGTAAGTAAACTCTCGTAGATAAACAATGAAGGAGACCAGATTTTGTGTGCTCTCTGTCTCTCTCTCTTCTGTCTGTCTGTCTGTCTGTGTGTCTCTCTCTCTCTGTCTCACACACACACACACACACACACACACACAACAGAGAGAGCATATCAGGGCTGTAAACATAATTCCAGTTACCACTACAGGCTTGAGGAAAAATCTATCCTAGATAGAAGATTATTTAATGTCTCACATTTCCACTATTTTTATTGTCACATTAAATATAATAAATACTTAAACCTGTTCAGCATTATATATTTACATTTCTCTCTTTATAGGTTACTGGGTTTCTCTGTTTTGGAATGCTAACTAGTATGCATTGAGCTTTGAGTGTATGCTAAACACTGGGCCGGGTACTCTTTAAAAGATTGTCTGTGTAGTCCTTAAAATAAACCTGTGTTAAGGGAGTTGTTATAATTTTCATTTACTATAAGTTTCATGTATATTTCCATGTATAGTTTAAAGGAATTTATTTCTATCCTTAAATGACTTGCTCAAGATCCCAAAGGAGTAAAGATTCAGGTCTGAGATTTAAACAGAGCTGGCCACTGCCCATAAGAGGTGGCAGATTTCTGTAAGCCCCATGACAGGAACCATGTGTCTTATCCTAAGACAGGACGTACAGAAGATGCTCAGTAATAATTTATGAAATAAACCCATACACAAATAACTTAAAATCTCTCAAAACTCTAATGGAATATATAAATAAAATAAACTACTAATCATGCTGTTATTTTACATTGTCTTGATAACATTCTCTTTGTTTTGTCGAAATTATAAAAATGATTTCCCCATCTTCTACTATTACTCTTATAATCCTTAGGTGTTAGTTAAACTGTTTGTATAAATCCCCAAAAATGTGCCTGGAAATGTTTTGTAAAACAAAATCTTGCAAGAAGAATCCTTTAAATATTAGAATTTGTGTAATTAGTTAAATACTTACCTCTATATATTTTTTTAAATCTGTCATAAGATTGTGATCTCCATTATCCCATGGAAACAAGGTGGATTGAATTGGAAATGTACATAATTATACCTTTTCAAAAGGCTGCACTGGGTTGAAAAACAAACAACTGTCTTCAAATCCTTCGGGTTTCTCAAGCTCAGGTGATTTTTGCATCTATTTGCACTGGAAGAAAGACGATGTGACTTTGGGTCCTGCCGACCACTGACAAGTTCTGTGCTCTTGGACTAGTCATTCCATTCACTAAGTCACTGGCACTTGTGTGATGCCATTCTGTCTGCTGCTACTACTTCTGGTCTCAATTCTTATTGAGACAGTTACTCGATCTCCCTATACCTCAGTTACCTACCACTGAAATAGGACTCTGTACCAGGTACTGAGCTAAACATGTCCAATGAATTATCTCGCTTACCAAACGCACCCGCTCAAAAAAGATTTTATATATTATATATGTATATGAGTTATGTATTATTACTGTCACTGACTTATAGATAAGGAAACTGAGATGTAGAGATAATAAGCAACTTGCTTTAGGTTAAGATATAGCTCTCCAGGTACCAAGTCACTGTTGATCAAATACCATGCCCCGTGATGGAGAAGCCAGATTGAGAGATTGTCAACATTCCTCTCAGCTTTAAAATTTGATTATTCTACTTACTGAATTTTTAGTGGTCCATCATACTTTTATGCAATTCTGACTTTCCACATCCAAGAAAGAAGCACCTGTGTAATCTCAATATTGCTTATGTTCCCCATGCAACCATATCATCTCATTCTAATTAATTCACTTTCAACATGGCAATTTTTCATCTATAGGCCTCACCACCGAATAATTTGTGTGGACTACTTTTAATGTAGAAAATATTGCAAAATTCACTACAATTCAGGTCATTGCCTTTAGACAACAAAGCTTTATTTAGAGAATGTACAAAAAAAGGTTGGTCAGCAATTCATTTGCTGTGATTTACATGAAAAATGGTATCATCCGAATGTATGTGTCTCCCCAAAATTCAAACATTGAGTCCTATTCCCTGAAGATGGTGGTATTAGGAGGTGGCGGTGTTGAGAGGTGCTTAGGTCATGAGTTTGGAGTCCTCTTGAATGGAATTGGTGTCTCCATTCTAAAGAGGCTCTCGAGAGCTCCAGAGTCTCTCCACCAAGTGAAGACACAGCAAGGAGGCACCACCCGTGAACCAGAACACAGGCCCTCACTAGACACGGATTCTGCTGGCATCCTGATTTTGAATTTCCAGCCTCTGGAAGTGTAAGGAATAAATATCTGTTTTTCCTAAGCTACACTGTGGGATTTTGTTGTAGCAAGCCAAACAGACTAAAGAGACTAGTGTCTATGACAGGAACTCCTAATGAGGAAGAAATATGTGTTTCAGGGATGTAAAATGGTTATTGGGCAATTGCTCTTCAGAAAACAAAATATAAATGTGTGTCTAATGTTCCACCCTGAGTAATGGTTCAACTATAACTTTGGAAAGATAGAGCATATTTTTAAAATATATGAAGCAGAATCAGGAAACAACAAGACAAGCAGGCATAATGACATATTTGTTTGAAAATATTTTGAAGAGTGGGTACAATGGCCACACAAAAACCTAGACCTCTGTGTTGTCATTGTGGCAGCCACAAACCATGTATAGCTATGCAAATTTAAACGTAAGTGACAAAAACAAACTTTCAAAGTTGCACTACCTACATTTCAAATACTTAGTAGTCTAGTGTGTGTAGCTAATGGCTCCCATCATGGAAAAAACATAGTGGAAATATTGAATGTGTTCATCATTGTCCAAGTACTTTTAGATGATGTTGATGTAGTCTTAAGTGATCAGAATAAATGTCATCTAAATGTGAGTATGCGCTCAACCAGAGGGGCAGACCAATAAAGATGTAAAAAAAAAAAAAAAAAAGAGTATACTAAGGAAAATGTGTATGTTGGTGACATTAAGTTTGAAATGCCCTCACTTTTTATTAGCATTTTATGTAATTTGAACAAGGATAACAGGACTCAATTACTTTGTCTTGAATATAAAGTGTGTGCCTGACAACTTATTATTTGGAGGATATGTCAGGCACACACTACAGACACAAACACAGAGACACTGGTCACGAGAAAAACTTTTTAAAATTGGTGTTTTTAACAAACACCTGTCTACTAAGGAATGTGATGCAATCCATACATTCAACTTATGTGTAGGGTTTCTGGGAATGTGGCAAATCTATCATGGTTTTTAGAAAATGACCTAATTGAAAACAACTGACATCTTTAGATGTACTGTAAAAAAAAAACATTA